ATGTGTTCGCTCCGTTATTTTGACGCTGAGCTGCTCTGACACTATGAATTTCTACAACAAGACGTGGCTGTTTTGAAGTTCCTGAACAGATGTTTTAAAGCGAACATGTAGTCGGGAATAGCTTTGCCCCTCCAGCTTCAAGCAGTCCGGGGATGAGTGGGATTGAAGGAGACCGAAACGGGAGGCGGACGTAAAGTGGATCCCGTAAATAAAACATCATCTCCTCCCTACATGGAAGCCTTGTAACGTTACCGTGGAGTAAGCGAAAGAGATGGGGAAAGTGATTTAAAACTGGGCCTTTAACAAAGAAAATATTTTTGGACGTGCGTGTTTAAGCTCCCGTTCGGACAACCGGGAAGCTGCGGGGCTGTGCCCCGTTTCAGGAGCCGCACATCCCGCCTGCAACCATAGGATGATGCCGATGATATGCGGGCCTGTGGAGATCCGCCATTTATGACTGGAGATTGATCGACGACTTAGTGGCATCTTTTCGGCGCACCATGGGTGTAGTAAGCACCATCTGATTCCTCCTATAAAAGGTGAGGAGATCCATGCATCAGTGACAGCTTGTGAATTTTAAAGAGATTTTCGTTTACTGATTGAGTTGCGTGCAAGTATTTCATGGTTTCTGCAAGCTAAAACGAGTTGCATTGGTTTGTTGGTTCTTTGTACCGCGTTGGTGTTGCTTCCAGATGAAGTAATGCTAAAAGCTAGAAGAAGCACGGACAAAAACAAGAAGTCAGCTTGACAGGTGATGTATGTAGCACATTCATGGGCTGGGTGGAGATCTGCACCTAACATTAGAAAATGTGCTTCTCCATCTCTCACCAGTATGGAACTCGCTGATTTAAGGCAGCAGAAAAAAAATATTTAAAACACAATCCAGCTTTCCCAGAGTGTTGGAGCGTTACAGAAACCTGACCAGGCCTTGCTGGCTCAGCTGGACAAATAGCCCAGCTGTCTTTTTTTATTTAGTCTTGTATATCACTTCCTGTATTCTAAACTGCAACTTTTGAAGTTCAGACCGATTACCATGTCCAATCTAAGCCCATATACTTTCAGCGATCACAATTCAATTCCATTTTAACCTTAAAAGTTTTTAAACGCTGCAGAGAGCTGTCCCCACTGACTGTAGGTGTATCTCAGTTCATTGGGATATCATCAAAAAAGGTTTTCTTCAGTTCCAATAGTGAATATTGTGTTTTATATACATTTCTTGTTTGGACTGATAGAGTTGGAAGTGATACAAAAGAACACTTCTGTACTTTCTAAAGAATAGCACAAAAAAGCTATAAGACAAGTAAAACACTCACTAACAAAGACAAGTTAGTGGCGTGTGTAAGATTCAGAGCAGAGGAATGCATTTAATCCCAAGCATACAAACTGGCACACAGGGATGTAATGGTTGTGTTGGGGACAGGAAACTGTTGTCTCTGACGGGACTGCCTCATTGTTCTTTAATCACGCTACATCTATTTGGGGACTTTGGGTGTGGGTTAACAGTCCAGTCTGTGAGGTGGGGCATTACACAAAACTTACATGTTACTGCAACTGCTTAAGAAAATAATGGAGTTATTTTGAAAAACATACTTTTGAAACAAGATTGTTGCATACACATAGCTATTATTCCTCCCTGTCTGAAATGAAATCAGACTAAAGCATGCAAAGAAATATTAAGATTTCCAAAATTATTTCTATTTCCTAAATGCAGGATAAGAAAATACATTTTTTTTAGGTTTTATTGCCTTTGTCATTCTGTAAGTTTCCATTCATTTAGGGTACTATAAAATACTAGTTTACAACAGCCCTAATTCATATTTTAGTTTTGCCTTATTAGAATTTGGCTATTTAACTTGCAGTACTTTGCAAAACTTTTTATAGCCTTTGAACTTTTTCACATTTTCTCACGTAACAGTCACAAATTTTACTGTACAGACCAACATAAACACCATTTAATGAAGTGGAGAAAAAGAAAAGTAATACTTGAGTGAATATATTGACACAATAGTATTAGTTGTGCTCTCCACAAATCTAGTGGTTATAAAATAGTGGCAATAAGAAAGCTATTTGCAGTTTACCACAAATCATCTGAGGGGGAACTTGAAAGTGTTCTGGTCAGAAGAAGTTTTAATGAAGAACTTAAAGGTGCCTCATGATTTGTCAGAGGAATGATCACAGGAACATAATATTTGTCTTATTATTGTTCTTACAGTCATTGATAATACTGCACATATAATAAGGAATATTAGCACCTGTGTTTTTTAATTTTAATTAAGTGGAAAATGTTGCTAATAGCTGAATTATTTGGGGGGGTCTTTGGATTTCTGACATATCTTTCACCCATTGTATAAGATTGAGCATAACTTTTCCGTAAGTAATTAAACAAATAAATAAAACACTTTTTTACATAGATGTATGAGAAAAGATGGGTATTTTTAGCTTTTATTTGGTAGCAGCAGTTCCATCTCACAACTGAAGAAACTGAATGACACAATAAATCCCACTTGCTAATATTAATCAGACTATTCTCTATTCTTATGCTAAAACCCCCTAATTTCTATTTAGTTCCTCTAGTAACCTGATTAGTGGAAATTATTTTGGACAGATCGATGTAAACAAAGCCAGGGCTCTAGCTGCAGATTGAAACTGTTACAACTGTGGATTAGGAAACACCATCTGTCAACACTAAATTTCCCTTCACCATTCCCTGGATTAACCTTGGTGCAGGATCAAAGACACTTCCTCTCCTGGAGAGCTTCAACTTTCCATTTCTAAAGAAAAGGGTTGGTTTAGTTATTCTACTGCTATAGTGTTTTGTTATTTTCAGAAGAAGCGGAAACTGTTTAAGCACATTGTGATGACATCAGAAGGCATCTAGTTAGCAGTACTTGAAGAGCTCACTCTTGTGCTATTTTAAAACTTATCTGGGCAGATGTGTTTATGTGTGTGGAGGGTGTTAATAACTGCTGGATTGCTGCACCAATGGAGTCAAGGCTATTGGTCGGATGTAAGCAATGTGCTAGTCTCCCTTAATGAGTAGTGACTGCCCCACGCCTAGTAACTGGATGCCATCAAGAATTTACAAAAAAACAAAAACCTACCAGTGAGTGTTCTCCATCACTACGGAGGAATTTTAGCTCGCGTTGCAGGGTTGTTTTAATTCAGTTACATTGAATGTTTAATGTTTGCCATGACATTATAATAAGTTTGATCTTTGACTAGGGCACTCCAAAACCTTAATTTTTCTTTATTTGAGCTGTTCATAGATGGACTTTGTGGTGTTGGTTAGATCGTTAGATCATTGTCTTGCAAAGCATGCTTGCAGTCACACATCGATGGTCATGCAGGTTCTTGCAAGGTGCCTGAAGTGACAGCCGCCTTGCAAGAACGCAAAAAAATCACAGTACCACCGCCATTTAAGTATATGATGTTCTTTTTCTGATATTTGTTAGTTTTACACAGATGTAATGGGACGTACACCTTCCAAAGAAAATCCACAGAATACTGCACGACTGACCAACCAACCAACCGAATTAATTAATTGTATCTGTATAACTCCTTTCAACAACAAGGCATTTCAAAGTGCTTTACATGATAAAAACACAAAAATACCATGTCATAGAACACACTTTGAATAACATTACATTTTGCACATCAGATTATTGATTAATGTTTCACGATTAGGTTTCAAAACCAACTCTAACCAGCTGAGTTTTTAGTCTAGATTTAAAGTCACTCAGTGCTTCAGCTGTTTTGCAGTTTTCTGGAAAATTGTTCCATATTTGTGGTGCATAGAAGCTGAATGCTGCCTCTCCTTGTTTGGTTCTGGTTCTGGGGATGCAGATCAGACTAGAACCAGAAGACCTGGAGGGTCTGGAAGGTTGGTACGACAAAAGCAGATCTTTAATATATTGTGGTCCTAAGGCATTTCGTGATTTATAAACTAACAGTATTTTAAAGTCTACACTACACTACTACTACATGTCAAGTATAAAAGCCACACCTCACTTGTGCGCAACGCAAACTTGAAATGTTTTTCAGTAACAGACCCTGATGGCATAAATAACATGCTCACCCTCCTGGCCAGTTCAATGTGTTAACTATAAACCCAGCTTTATCCTGCTAGGAAGGCAAGTAATGGCTGGCAGCCCACCAAGCTTACAATACACTGGGTGGAAACCTTGGATAGTTTTGGTACCTACCTTGGTTGAATTGTCACAATTTGGTAGAATGCTATAGGGACTAGTTGCCAAAGGTTTGTGTTTCTTTGAGAACCCAGCAGAGAAGTAATTGTTAGAGACAGACAGGTTTTTCATACCAGCTCCAAGGTTTTTGGTTAAGCAAGCTTTCACTTACACCCAAAGTCTAGAATTTACTTTATTTGATTGTAGCTTATGTATTAATCCTGCCCAGACTTCATTGTATGCAGTATTTGTCTTGCTTGATTTGACTTACTGTCTGTTGAAAATATTTATTAGAATTATTCTGATTATGTCCCTTCTTCTCTTCTGTCAATCCCTCTCTCCTGTAGGTTTTACCTTCCTTTCTGCATGGATAACCCTGCCTTCAGTCTCCCCTACCTGGACAGAAGAGTTGGATCATTCTGAATTTCTCTGCTTCTCTTTCCCTAATTCCCCATCTCAGCTACCTCCGTTCTGTTCTCCAGCCATAATGGAGTCATGGAAGAAGCACATGCTTGCTGAGGTTAGGAGGGCCACAGTGTGGCTCTTCACTGCCAGACATCTGACAAATACTGACATAAAGCTTGATATATGGGTCAATAAAAGAGTCCAATAGTTTTAATTCCATAGGACCATCTGAACGAACTGAACGTGAGTACTCTCCCTTTCCCAAAGGAATACCAGCAGCACCAAAGACTTCCTTGTTTAGGTAACCCTAAACAAGTATAACCAAGTATAACCCTGTATGGTTATGCTGGATTTTCCCTATTGCTAAATTTTCTTCAGTTTCAGTTGGATAGGGACAACTCCTAGTGCCTTCTTTTTTCTGTTGAGCCCACTCCATTAACCTCCACCATTCGGCCGTCCCTCACAACCGCAGTCCTCCCCCCTCGCCCCCGTCCCCACTCATCCTCTAACTCCTCTTCCCCATCTCCCCCTCTCCACCATCACCACTTCCCTCAGTCCCACTTCCACGAACAGCTATCTTCGCCTCCTGCTTTCTCTTCTGCCCCAGCCGTGGGCATGGCAGCGGCTGCTACTGCATCCACCTCTTCTGCATCGCCTCCACTACAGACAGCCTCGGCGTCCAACAGCAGTGCCCACGAGCACCTGCTGGTGGTGCGCCGCCGTGCTCCACACAGTCGGCCGTACACAGTGGGACTGGACAACCTCAGCAGTTTGTCGGTACAGATAACAGCGGGATCCTCAGCTTCGTCGTCCTCTGTTGTGCCATCCGGGACCCAGCTGGAATCAGCCGGGCTGGGACTGCAGAGGGCCAATAGTGACACAGATCTTGTGACCTCTGAAAGCCGCTCATCACTTACGGCATCCACATACCAACTGACTCTTGGCCAAGGCCACCTGGTGATCTCATGGGACATAAAGGAGGAAGTGGATGCCACTGATTGGATCGGCCTTTATCACATCGGTGAGCTACTGAAACTCTAAATCTAAAGGGTTTGGTGGAACAAATGAAACCAGGAGTGGGCAACCCCAGTTCTTGTGTGCCAGTGACCTGCAAAGTATGTATATGTGTGTGTGTGTGTGTGTGTGTGTGTGTGTGTGTGTGTATATATATATATATATAGATATATATATATATACTGATTAAATTCAGTTCAAATAAAAACAAAGAGGAAAAAAAACAGTTACAGACACTTTTTGATGTAAAAATAACTTTACATTAATACTATGTAAAGTCACTATGTAAAGTCACATCTCATTCATTCAGTGTTAACCTCATGAATGTGGTCATAAAAATCCGCAAAGTAGCTCTAATATTTTACTGACTAACGCTAAAACTGCTGAAAATGACATATATATATATATATATATATATATACACACACACACACACATAGAGGTCATGCTAGAATTTTTATTCGTCATTTCGACCGACAACATTAAAAAATATCGGTCATGTACTATTTTTACCCGTCAAATTATAATCACATTAACATTAGGCTATTCAGCCACATTTTTTATGCGGCTTTGTTCATATTCACCTAGTTGAACCATGACTCCAGATCCCATCTCACATAAAGCAGATAAGTGCATCTAACTTTTTCTCTGTAGTGATAAAAACCACTGACTGTGACCCCAATAACTTATAATAAGTTAAATTAAATGACTCCACTTAAATTACAAGCACTTTACCTGCTGGGGTCTGAATGCACAGTGCCTCACAAATTCCTCCTGGTTCCCATCTGCAGAGAAATCTGCTCTAGTTCACCAGTTAGTTGGATCTGCCTGATCCAAACTGATCAGTTGAACTCTGCAAGTTTTATTATGTTTTAAATAACCCAGCATTCTTTACTGTGCTGTGAGCAGTCCGGGTGTGAATTTTTTTGAGGATCTTTTTGTGTGGTTTCATTTCTCCGAAACGGACAGATGTTATGTCTGCCTCGCTCCTCCTGAGCGCCACTCTCCATCTGGGCACAGGAGGGTAATGTCTTCCAGCTCCATTTCTTAAAACGGCAGCGTGAGCTAAGTTTAATTCTTCGCGTGGTGGAGCCGCATCCGCATTGGTTGTGCAGCAGGCTGCGCATGTTGCGGTCTGATTAACTTCTGCATTTTTATTTATTTCCTCAAGATAAGGGTGTCATCTGTTTAGACCAGTGTTTCTCAACTCTTCAACTCTCTGTCAGCTCCTGGTCAGAAAGATGCATTTTGTTCATTGTCCATTAGATGATATTCAGAAAGGATTTTTTTTATTGATTGATTTTAGTTGCGTCTGCGTTGAACTCTTTGCATAAAGTCTATTATGTCTGCCCATGTGCACCAGTCAAGGATGTGAATTATTACCTGTCAAAATGACAGTAAAAAAAGAGTCAAATATGGAAAATATTCCGTTAACAAGACTTCTGACATACACACACATATATTGTTGAGAAAACGAGACATTTCCTACCTGTTGCTCATTGTTAGCAGTTACAAGACAGTTCCACCCCAGTGATGTGACTAGCTGTTTTAGCTCAATTACCTTTATATCAAAACGGGTTCTTTACTGTCTGATGTGTTTTGACGTACTGTTCAGAGATGGTCTCTCCTGCACACAAACAGCACCATTCATTACGTGCTTTTTGTACTCCAGAGACCATGCAGGTGTTACCAAGGCCAGGGATGAATTTATCCGCTGTCTAAGCTATCCTCCCTCCGCACTTTCCCAGGGTAGGAACAATAGATATGTTCATTTCATACAGAATGAAAGCAGGACCGAAGTTTATCAACTATTCATGTTTTTCATCCTTTCAAACTGCCTCAAACTGGACCACACAGAGCTCTCCTGACCTCTCCTCTGACCCAGTGCATCAAACAGCAGATTTTGATTATAAAAATGAATACATGTTCCACATAATAACTTCAAACTCTTATAAAACAAACATGAACAGTTTCAATACCAAAACATGTTACATTCAATAAATTTTTCAGATGAATGTTTGACTTATACACTGTTAAGAATGTGATCTAATATAAAAGACTATGATTAGACTAATTTTAATCAAATCGTGACTATTATATCTAAGAAAATGTTCTACTGATTAAGTTATGTACTGATTAAACCCTGAGTCCAAGTCTAACCCTAAATTAAGGCCTACTCAAAACAATCATGATCAGTCTAATATTTCAACATGTACCAAAGTTAAACATCATTAAAATTAGTATAATTAAACCAATATTTCCAACATATAGAATAATTGGGTAAAACATTCTTTTATAACTTCTCAAAAACAATTTGCCAGAATTTTGAACCATTCCTCTTGACAGAACTGTTAGAAGGTATGTCAGGTTCGTTGCCCTCCTTGCTCATACACGTCTTCAGTTCTTCCCATTGATATTTTCTGGGACTGAAATCGGGACTTTGTCCTGGCCACTCCACTAAGTGTGTGTGTTTCAATGAGGCTAGCACTTCGGCACCCTGCAATTTAACTCCATTTTTCCTTGGAAAGCTGTTAATGCTGGATGGTGTGTTTGTGGTGATGTGGTTTCCTCCAAACATAGCATTTTATCTGAGAGACAAACGCCTCAATTTTAGTCTCATCAGACCAAAGAGCTTTCTTGGACTTGTCCATGGAGGGGCCCACACACATCTTTTGGCAAACTCTATTCTGTTGAATTATGTCAGTCACTTTAAAGGGGGTTAATAATTAGCCAGTTACTTATTTTATGTTATTTTTGTTATTGTCATTATTTTGTAGAAATCAGTTTGACTGAAAATTGTTTTGTAAACCATAACTTAAGATAATTCTGCATTTTTAACAGGCATTCAAGATTTGCATAGTAAAAAAAACTATGAAGTGATAAATCCACACAATTGCTCTCCTCTATCAAAACCTTTATCATTGTGATCTAAAATATTAATATGTATGGAAGAAGATAAGTACATGAAAGGGAATGGAGGGCCTAGATTTATATTGCAGGGATAAATGTAATCCCTCTGCTTAGTGCATGACCAGCTAAACGTCCCAGTTAAACGACGTTTAACTAAAGTCCGAAAAGGGGTTTTAATGTTTTTATCTTTTTTAATCTTTTTCAAAATCTCTTTCTCTTTCTCACTGTTTATTCAATGTCACACTGTTTTTATTTTAATTTTGTAAAGTATTTTGAAATGCCTTGCTGCTGAAATGTGCTATACAAATAAAATTTGATTGATTGATTGATAAATGCCAAATATTTATTGCCAAAGTGTAATATTTACGTTTTAACATTTATGGCCCAGCTTTGAAGGTAAACAGATAGACACAGGAGTTTAATCAGGCTTTATGAAACCAAACATAAACGAATGAGCTTTCTTTTTTACTTGATCAGGACAGATGTGGATAGTTTTTTATTAAGTTTAATAGAAATCAGGAGTATGACAGTTTGCTTATTGTAATAAATGTTAGAATCCAGGATTCGTGCACTTAAAATATAACTTTTTAATAAATTACGTTGTGTTTTTTACAGATGAGACATGTGTGGCCAATGTCTGGGAGTCCAAGAACCGTGGAGTAAATGGTACTCAAAAAGGACAGGTTTTGTGGAGACTGGAGCCTGAACCCTACTTCATGGAGGGTAAGTGAGTTTTATCAGGGCCGTTACTCCAGTTTTGCTGTTGACCTGTATGAAAGCTTGCTTGTTAAACTGTTGGATTATATGAAATCCATTATTGAAAATAATGTGCCATTTTGTCATCCTGTGAAAGGGTCAATTCTGGGAAAAAATGATGGAATTACTTCTCTTGGATAATTATCATCTAGTTGTTTTCCTGGGGAAAAAAAACATTAAAAAGCCAGTTTTTATAACAGTTTAAAATCTTTATGTTGTGCACACAAACATATCAGTTTGACAATTTATTTACAGGACCTCCCTTTAACTAGATCTCTTCAAAGTGTCCAAAACGTATCCATTAGCAACTTTTTAAAATTTATTTAAAATATTCAGAAGAAAATGCAGCTTGAAGCTGAAACACCAACACACAATGCTACTTAAAAATGCTAATGACTGGCATTTGCAAAGCATTCAATCCATCAGCAACATTCATTTTGCTAGCCACTGATTGGGTGTAACCCTCAAGAGCAGAGATAAGGTAAATTGTAGCTGTCAGTTTCTGCTACTGCGATTATTAAAACATATTAATATTTGATGTTTGTACTATTAAAACAGGCAGTTGTAGATATTTTTAGTGGGGGACTCAAGTATTTGTGGTTCTCAGCAGTTATGGTTCCTAACAAATATCACTGTAAAGTGAATTCTGGTCAAGAAGCAGAGCAATATGCATTTAAATTTAAAAATAGATGAGCAACATTTGAATTAGTCTTTTGCTTGATTTTTTTTTAATTCTTGTATGAAATCAGGGTTTTTTGCTGTTAAGTAAAATAGCTTAATGATGAGTAAAATTGATTACTACATTTGATTATGCAATTGATCCACAACTGAAAACCTAACATCTAATTGCTTTTATCTAAAACAAGTCTTCTTACAGTTGCAGAAATTACAGCTGTTTTTTTTAGTTATTTAGTCTTATTTTGATTTTGTTTAAAACATTAAAGCAGATAAACTGAGTAGCAGTGAAGAACCTTGCCCCCAAATAACCTATTTTATACTGTTCTGATTTTCAGATTTTTTTACACAAAGCAACTTGTAACTCACCAAACTGAGACACTGAATCAGGTGAATTTGTTGTCTTCTCCTGCAATCATGTAGCTAGCTACTTCACAGATATGCTACCAGTAGTTTTGAAGGAGGATTACCTCAGAGACAGGACTCTGGCAAAAAATTAAAACCATGAAATTGTGAAATTTGGAATTAGGAAAATAAATGTACTTAATGGAAACTGGGCAATTAAAAAAAAAAAAAAAAAAAGTTTTTCACGAAAACGTTTTTGTGCTAGGATGAGGTGGTTTTTCGGTCGTGTCAAAATAGATATATTTTGCAAAACTGCAATGGAAACACTTTATTCACACCACATGAGTCATGTGATCAACAACTGGATGTTACTACTGGCAAAAACCACAAAGAAGATGACAGAAAGTAGTAGAAGGATGATGGTGTGCTTTTGGTTTTGTTCTCACACAAGAGCTCTCACAGCATCGCACAGTACATAAAAAGCTGTGTGTCATTTGATCGTTGAATACATCGCTCTTCTGTAAAATTGCCGGCTACAGTTTCCCCAAAACATCGCAGTCGTAGATGCTCCAAAGTATCCGGGGCTTGTTGCTCTTTCACCTGAATAAGATGCTGACATCTCCTCTGACGGATGAATTTTGAATAATTATGGCACTTGTCACTGCCATAATTTTAATGACACATAATGTAAATAAGCTTATTCACCTGTGATTGCAATTTAATTTCTTAATGAAAACACTGGGGAAATTGTGTTTTTTCGACATTAGCGACATTTTGGAAAAAATGGAAATGCACCTACTGGTGGCCAATATCTCCCATCACATTCATGAAGCTGAACTGGAAAGCTCCTTCAGTGACAGACTGAAGGAGCTTCAGTCTGTCACTCAGCAGGTTGAACACCCCCAAAGGTGGTGGAGAATGACCGAGCTAAGATCCTGTGGGACTTCCAGATCCAGACAGACAAGATGGTAATGGAGAACCAACCGGACATTGTGGTGGTGGATAAACAACAGAGGAAAGTTGTTGTGGTGGATGTAGCAATACCAAGTGACTACAACATCAGGAAAAAAGGAGCATGAGAAACTGGAGAAATACCAGGGCCTCAGAGAGGAACTGGAAAAGACCTGGAAGGTGAAGACCACGGTGCCTGTGGTCATCGGGGCCCTCGGGGCAGTCACCCCCAAACTGGAGCAGTGGCTCAAACAGATCCCAGGAACAACATCAGACATCTCAGTCCAGAAATGTGCAGTTCTAGGCACAGCCAAGATACTGGAGGAGAACCCTCAACCTCCCAGGCCTCTGATAGAGGACCCGAGCTCAGAGGACATATGAGAGTGAGTGAGTGAGTCAGAGAGAGAGAGAGAGAGAGAGAGAGAGAGATTCAAGGGAAAACCTAGCTTGGTTTGTTTGTTTACTCTTAAGAAATTGTTCAGCCAGTAGGTGTTGCTACATTTCTGATTGAAATGTGAGGTGGGGGGGTGGGGAATTATTGCAGACATGCCCAATTCTGCTCTTTGAATGCTTTTCATGTACAGAAAATTTGGGGGGGAATTTCTCTTTGCAGCTGAGACAAAGATCTGTTTCAAATATTATCATGGAATAAGTGGAGCATTAAGAGCAACAACTCCTTGCATCACTGTGAAGAACCCAGGAGTTCCAGTAAGTGTGTGATTTAATACTTTATCATCCATATCCAAATTGCCTTTGTTTTGTTCCGTTGGTTGTCACTAGTACCACAACTTTTATGGTTAGGGATCAGGAGAGAAGGGGGTAAATTAATTTACAGATTATTTCAAGCAACTGGAATATGTGGTTTTCCCCCTCATAGCTTTGGCAAGGGCAAATGTTTTCAAATTCACAATGATTATGTGTGATAGTATGATTGAGCCACCAAAAATTAGCAACTATAAATTTCTTTTATCTAGTAATCTCTCGTTTTACATTAAAATGGAATTTTCCCTAAGACCTACACTCACATTTTCAGGAAGACCAGCCTTTTCAACCAGCTTCCATCCTCTTAGCAGCAATGAAAACTTATAAATACACAGTGTGTTGGAAACCCAGGTTTGGTGACTGACTTTTGTCAGGCTTGAGTGACAAAAGATAGAAAAAGACTGATTCTCTTGGCGAATAAAAAAAAACAACTAAGAACAAGATCTTTTTTATTTATTTTACAATTTTGTTATTGTTTTTTTAACAGCATCTGTTGATTAAACTCAAAGTTACAACCTTGAGATGATTATATGAGTTGTTTCACAGAGAAATTGATCAGAAGCGCCGTAAAGGCAAGACAGGGAAATTCAACAGAGAAAACATGGTCATGACCATAAAGAAGGAAATGCTGGGCTCACTCATGGGCTTTTAAAACTGTGACACTCTGCCTGAGAGCTGAATATAACTGCTGGTGAACAGGTGGATGACATGAGCATGAGTGCACTGTAGCACAGCAGCATGCAGGTGGATCAGATGAGATTGATTGCAGAGGTGAGAGCTGAGGAGAAAAACAGAGCAGGCAGACAGGCCAGAATCATAGCTGATTTTTTTTTGTTTTTGAAGTTGAAGTGAGATTAAACTAAAATCACTTCTCCATGCATTTGTTTGTTTTTGAAATAGGTGAGAAGTGAAGGCCAAGTGGAAGAGCAGTCGGGAAGTGAACATTGTCGAAAACTTGTCAGCTTCACCCTGTCAGGTAAGAGGAGTAACACGCACAGCCAAGTAAAAATAATTTGTAAAGCACATTTCAGTAACAAGGCAGTTCAAAGTAATTTACAGCATAAAAACAACACAATAAACTATCATGAAACAAGCGGCAAATATTCCATTTTGTCAAATGCCATCATCAAAATCAAGAATACTCATTATCAAAGATATTGATAAATTTTCCAGTTATTATTAGTCAAATACAGATCTAGACAGCTGGGTTCTTAAAATTGATTTAAAAAATCTCAATGTTTCAGCTGTTTTTTTGGTTTTCTGCAAGTTTGGTCCAGATTTATTGCATAAAAACTGAATGTTGGTTTGTTGTTTAATTCTGGTTCTGGAGCTGCAGCGCAAACTACAAGAAGACCTGAGTGGTCTTGAAGGTTGATACGACAAAAGTTCTTTAATGTATTTTGGTTTTATGCTGTAAAGTGATTTATAAACTAACAACAGTATTTTTGTGTTTTCACACCTGATAGTCCAGAAGACTCGATTCGGGACCAAAGTTGCAAAATTTGTTACATTTTCAACTCGTGCACTTTGTGTTCACACTGCACTATCAAACGATTCAAACTAATTGAAAAACTGTTCCCCTTCCTCGCCGGTGGTAGGGAGGGGAAACTCCTCCGGTCCCAAGCAGGAGGAGTTTAAGTATCTGGGGATCTTGCTCACAAATGAGGGAAAAATGGAGCGGGAGATCGGCAGACGGATTAGCGCCAGCATCTGAAGTGAAGCGAGCGCTCTACTGGTCTGTCGTGGTGAAGAGAGAGCTGAGTCAAAAAGTGAAGCTCTCAATTTACTGGTCAATCTATGTACCAACCCTCATCTGTGGTCATGAGTTGTGGGTCATGACTGAAAGAACGAGGTCCAGGATACAAGCGGCCGAAATGGGTTTTTTCTGTAGTGTGGCTGGGCTTTTTTAGTCAGCATTAGAGTTTGATTGTGCATTCACACCTCCCAAAATGAACAGGACTTTCTAGAGAAAAGAACTAGAGTTCTATTAAAGCGGACTAAACAGGATTGGTGTGAATGCACCCTAAAGTCATGTATTCACTATGTGCTTACGTGATCACATAATGAGTATTGTAGTTCAGGGGTATGAGCGCCAAGTTGGATGATGGACATTGTTCAATAAAGCAACTGGGTGGTTTTTGTGATGATTTAATTCAGTGTTCTGGCTAATTCAGTAATAAGGTGGACACACAACACTGGGCTACAGGGAGCCAGTATAAGGACTTAGGAATGGACGGGATTTGCTTCTGGATCAACTGCAATTGTTTCATTGACTTTTTAGGCAGTAATCAGGTTGACTAAAGTCAAACATATGGACTAGTTTCTTTGAGATCTTTCAAAGAGTTTCTAGAATTTCTTTAATCCTAGAAATGTTCTTCAGGTGATATAAAGCCAACGTTGTAATGCCTATGCTAGCACTATTGGTATTGACAAGAAAGATGCCTATAACTGCTACTGTTTCAGATATTCAGGCAGTGGGGTTGAAGAAGGGGATGTTTTTTAACCCTGACCCATACTTGAAGATGTCCATCCTGCCTGGGAAGAGGAGCGGCCTCCCCAAATTCACTCATCATGGCCAGGAGAGGCGCTCCACCATTATAGCCAATACCATCAACCCTGTGTGGCATGGGGAGGTAAGCCCCTTTGCTTTGATAAACTCATTCGCCCTGGTCATGCATTTAAGACTTTGGATATCAGCAGATGTCCAATTCTTAAAAAATGTGTGTGTTAGAGTTTTTATGAAACTTTTTATTACCTGTTCTGTCCACCAATTTAACACTAAGAATTATCAAGTATCTAGGTTTTTGTATCTCTGTTTTCTGTAGAAGTACACCTTTGTGGCTCTCATGAGTGATGTGTTGGAGATTGAAGTGAAGGATAAGTTTGCCAAGAGCCGACCAATTATCAAGCGCTTTCTGGGTCATCTGATCATCCCCGTGCAGAGACTTCTTGAGGGGCCAACAACAGTTGAGTGAGTTCACACCCAGACACAAAACTGTGCTGTACAACTGAAATGTCAAAAACAGGGGTTTTCAACCTTGATCCTTAAGGCACACACTGAGTGTTTTACATGTGTCGCTGCTAAAATGACACATCACTTTAGTTATCTTTAGAGATAACAGAAATGTTCTAATCTTTAATTGGATAATAATCTAACTAGGTTTAGATTACTACAGTTCAGCAAAAGCTTGTTAATCGATTGAAATCAGGGGAGCTGAAACAAGGAAACATCTAAAAGATGCAGGGTGGTGTGCCCTGACGATTATGGTTTGAAAACTAAAGAACTGATGGAACCAAAGAACTTTTTCCACAGGGAATACTTCATGTTGGCCTCTCTGTTGCTCTTGTAAAAGTTCTATACATGCATCTCAATATTTATCATTAACTGCATTTCCATTGCAAATATGTCCAGTGTTATGTCAACTTTCCACTAATGTCAAAAAA